AAGAGAAGAGAAGAGAAGAGAAGAGAAGAGAAGAGAAGAGAAGAGAAGAGAAGAGAAGAGAAGAGAAGAGAAGAGAAGAGAAGAGAAGAGAAGAGAAGAGAAGAGAAGAGAAGAGAAGAGAAGAGAAGAGAAGAGAAGAGAAGAGAAGAGAAGAGAAGAGAAGAGAAGAGAAGAGAAGAGAAGAGAAGAGAAGAGAAGAGAAGAGAAGAGAAGAGAAGAGAAGAGAAGAGAAGAGCTCAGTCGCTAAGAATGAAATGGCTTTAAGGATCCAATGACAATCCTCCAGGCATTGTCATCTACAGAATGAAATGGTCACTAAATTGTTCAAATAATAAAACAAAGCCACTTAGGCTAATTAATAAATGTTGACATTTCACAACTACCCTTTTAGGCATACCTTTATAAGGTGTGACAACCTTAAGTTTATTTGTGGATTTTAAGTATACAGGTGCATTATAGATTATATGAAGATAAAATAACTTTTCATGGAGTACACTTAGATTCTAACTCTGTAGTTTAGAAGAAATACGTGAGAGATGCTTTAATCTATATTCTTCTGTCCTCTACATAGATTATATAATAGGAAAATTTTGACATGGGACATGATCTTGCATGTGTGTAGCTCTTCATCCTAAGGTAATCTCTTGAGTCATTTTTTGGTGTCTCAGACTGTGTCTTAATGCCAATGTGGATATGCTGATCACATTAGAAAGTTAATATTTATTCAAGTTTTTAATGAAATCTTTAACGAATTGTGAATTACAGCTCATGAGTAATTCAACAGTGAAAAATGAAAGCGAACCTGCTTTTCTTTTCAGAGATAACTTGCCCTGTAACTCTTCAGTGGCCATTTGAAAGGCCTCATTTTGTAATTTCTAAAATGTTTTTAGTACACTGTAAAACTTGGGCTAACATTGTTGATTAAAGATTAACTAGCAAGACTTGTTAACCTGCTACTTCTTTTTCACAAATATCTAATGGCTTATTATGGAATTAATCCTGGTGATTCCTTAAAGCCTAACATCTGAGAACTCAACTGTTTCCCCAGTGATGTATTAGAAGTGATGTATTAGAAGGTGCTCCTCATGTTTTTATTGTTTAAGTTAAATCTTCAAAGTGTTTGCAGATGGAGGAGGTGATGGTAGAGAAGGAGAGGGGAGAAATGGGAGAAAATAATGTGAGGGAGGCAACAAAGAAGGAAAGAAAAAAAGGAAAATAAGGAGAAAGGAAATTGAGTTGGAAGTACTACATCAACTAAGAAGAAGAAATTATGTTTTATGAAAATATATCCCTGCTGAATAAAAGACAGAAAGATTCTGTCGTAATCCATTGCTACTGGTTGTTGAATGTTTGAACTGTATAGATGCTGGTCAGAGATTGTTTTTGAAGAATGAAGTAGAAAGGTGATAGGATTTGGAAAAGAGTTAGGTTTTAACTTGCAGATTTTCAGAGTTGAAAATGGTACTTCAATCACTGAATGAAATGAATTTCAATGTATACATATAATTATTCCTTTATTAAAATTGAAGAATTATACTTTCTTTTAGTACTCTCATTTTAAAATTTCTTTCAATATTTGAAACTCAAATATGGCTGGTACTATATATACTTGCTAATTTTTAACTGATTTAAAAAAACATTTAAAATGTCAATAATTCATACTTATCTCCATTAGTTTTCTCATAATAATTATTCTCCATCTTCTTTCCATGTGGATCATTACAGAAAAATCTGTTCTGTACAGTAAGGTAGTTATATAAGTCATTATTCTTCATCAGTCAAGATAATTTTATTATGTTTTGTAGTAAATGATATGTTAATACACAATACTAGTTGATGAAATAGGCTAGAATAATAATTCACAGGTTATGTGCATGCTTTTTCATTAAAATATTTTGTTAATAAGTTATTTATTAAAGATTACAGCAAGACCTCAGAATATTCTATTTCACAGCACTTATTGGAATCAGAATAATGTATTTTGTTATTAACATCTAGTTCCAATGTTCATGTTCTAGTTAGCTTCTGAGTGCCACAACCACTTTTTGTGTGTCCTACAGCTTATGATAACTATTGCTTTTTTAAATTACTACTAAAAATCACTAATTTTTCAATACAGGTAATGGATTAGGAATTAGAATTGTGGGTGGCAAAGAAATCCCTGGACATAGTGGAGAAATTGGAGCCTATATTGCCAAGATTCTTCCTGGGGGAAGTGCAGAACAGACAGGGAAACTTATGGAAGGTAAGAATAAGAAATTGCAAAGAGAAGTGAAATGAATGTAAATATATTCATTATTAAATATTATTTAATATGAATTTTCTCTTCCTTTTGCTGTGTAGATAAACCTCTCTCTTTAGAGTTCATTGTGAAATTTTGATATAGCAATATAAAAGAAGATATATGCACAAATATATTCATTTTATATTGAATTGCATTGTCCTTCTGGCTGTTGGTTAGATATGGAAATATGCTGTTTAAAACTAATCCAAATATTTAATGACTGAGACAATTTTATTTAAAAAGCATTGATTATCTAGATGAATGTTTCATAGATACCAAGCAAAGTTATATTGAAATCAGAGCTACAGAAATTCAGAAGGTGATTCAGTACATGCTAAGGTCAGGTCAGTGGACAACCTGCAGGTCAAATCCATCATCCATCTGTCTGTAACTAGAGTCTGATTGGAATACAGCTGTGATAATTGATTTGCAAGTATTATAGTTGGATTCTCAAAGTGTACAACTGTCATTCAAATAATGAGGTCGTGCACATTCTCCAGATCCTTTTTTTTAACCTGTATAAGGGGGCTTTAAAAGATTTGTGAAAAACAGTATCATGAAAAAAGTATGCAGTGATTTCAAAATTTTTTGCACCAAAATGAATTTATCTCTTATTTCCATTTTTCACAACTTTTTGAAGTACCCTCTTACATAGTTTGCAAGTATTCTATATTATAATTAACAATGTCTACTATAAAGTAGATACTATCTGTTTATTTAATCTATAAATAAAATACTTCCTTAGAAAAAATATTTTTCTGTTATTTCATCATTAATAAGATTCTGCCTGTTATTTAAAAATTTTAATTATGTTAGAAATGATTCACTGTCATTCTCTTAAATATATTGGAACCTACCCAAACCTTAGAGTATGGGAGTGAACAAAAGCTATAGGCAGTATTTGCTTGCCAACTTGCTGCAACTCTTTAAAAACTGGTGAACCCATCCCCCTAAGTTCTATGTAATGTCACCACTACGATAGCTTGTATTGGCATTGGAAGGAACATGAGTATTTACCATGTGAAAATAGACAGATGCTAACAATCAAGCTTTATTTGTTTGTTTTCAGAATGCCAGTTTACTAGCAAATGACCAAAAAGTACAGCTGAATGCATATTATTAACAATCTTCTCATGACATTCAAAAAACAAGTATGAGTCAAGAATTAACAATTATGAACAAAACCCTGGGTCAGTATAAATTTTTTACAACTATAAGACTTTCACACCCCATGCTGATTTTTGAAGTTGCAACCTAGTCTGGATATGTGAACTGAGACACATGTTTAGAGTTGCTTTCACATAGTACATTCCAGAAGGAATTGAATATTCAATTTTTTTGTAAAAATAAAAATTATAATTATTACTGTTCCTGGTATTCCTTGAAAAAGATAATTAAATAATTTGTAGATAAAATTTCATATCCTTCTTTGGATTATACAATAAAAGTAAGCAAATACTACAAATCAAGGTGATTTAAAAGACAAAATCAGCAAAGTATATGATGATGAAGTGAAGCTTTTTTCACTTAGTAGCCAACATGGCTTTTTTAAAGGTCATAAGTTTCATTTTTAAAAAATGTAGTACAAACTCATTCAAGAGAGGAAACTGAAGTGAACCTAAAACTACATTTAGGATTTTACAAGCTCTAAGACTACCACTAAAGTCCTCTTACCTTGTATTGGATCTAGTAGTTTTACAGTTTATCTAATTGGTTTAAAGGGGAAATCATTAGAAACTATGTGCATGTGATTAAAGATTTTATTTTTATTAGCTATCTATTTATTCATTCTCTCAAAGTTGGCCAAATTATGAAGTCTCACTCTTTGGTGAGTGTGGATTTTCTGCTTGGAGTCCTGTTCTTGTGTAACCCACACACATGACTTGTTACTTAAGATTTCCAGCTTTGCTTTATTTACTCCTAGAACACAGATCTTTAGTACAGCACTTGGTACTATTTCTAGTAGGTTCATGATGCTACCTTCACTGCTGATATTCAAATACTGTTCTTTAATATTAAATATGGGGAATAATTTTGACATATGGCAAATCATATCCTTTCTTCTACCCATGAAGGTGATACCTATGTTCTGTGCATCCAAGCTGGAATAATACAAGTCCCTTTCTTTTTATGTTCACAGATTGCCTTGCTAGAAGGCTACTAGTACACATGGCAATCAACAAACATTCTCTTTCTGGTTTTCTGTAGGAATGTGTATCTGTATTTTTGTTTTGTCTGTAGTTATATGATTAATTTATACATGATATCCCAAGGATGTAGGGACTGCAGCCTCAATCCCTAATGAATTACCCAAAAGTTTCAAAGTAGTAGATTGATTGAGATACCATCTTGATTTTTATACCAGATATGAGGCAATATTATAATAATAAAAATTCTATGTCACTAGATGTTTTGTTTTCTTATAGTTAAAACAAATTCTTTTATAAAAGCTGATGTTTACCAATGTATTTATTGGAAGCAATAAGATGGTTAATTTCCCATAGTTTGAAATTAATTATTTTCTAAGGAAAAATTATGCATACAAGAGTAGATTGATAAATAGAAGGAGATAGATAGATAATGTGCTTGTGTAATTTGATTTCTCCCTCTGTATAATGAATTCTGGATATATTTAAGATTTGCTGTCTTCCAGGTATATCTTTGCTTTCTTTATTTCTGAATACAAAGGTATATAGAATGAACCCTTACAGATCCACATGTTTTAGAAATGAATGGCAGCAAGGTTGGCTATAGAATTCTTAGAACTTTTTTTTAACTCAAAACTATAAAGCTGTTTTTCAGAAAAGAGTGACTAAGTCTACTGCTTTTTCTGAGTTTGTTCATTTCTCCTATAACAGGCTTTTCAACTCATCAGGGTGTGACATTTTAACACTTTTACAGCACTCAGCGGCACAGACTCTGATTATGTTGTCTTTTGGGAAAGGGGGAGTATTTTCACATTTCTTCTAGCTTTTTGTTCTCTAGGTTTATCCATTTAAAATATAATGACCGAAAATGTAGGTTTTCTGATGCTTATATGCCAATTGCTGTTCTTCATGTTCTTGCTTATGTAAGCTGCATTAAATAGGAAAAAATGTCCCTCATGTGTTTCCTGAGTGAGTGTTCTACTTATATGTTTGAAAAAAGATTTTTATTCTCTCTCTATATTTTTTAAAAAACCTTTCTGAACAAGGCTGTCTGTCTTATTTAATAACATAGGAGAGGGGCTGGCGATGTAGTACAGCAGATCAAAGCCCTGGCCTGCAGTGCCGGCATCCCATATGGGCGCTGGTTCTTGTCCAGGCTGCTCGATTTCTGATCCAGCTCTTTGCTGTGGCCTGGGAAAGCAGTGGACAATGGCTCAAGTCTTTGGGTCCCTGAACCCATGTGGGAGACCTGAAGGAGGCTCCTGGCTCCTAGCTCCTGGCTTCAGATTGGTGTAGCTCCAGCCGTTGTGGCCACCTGGGGAGTAAACCAGCAGATGGAAAATCTCTCTCTCTCTCTACCTCTCTCTGTAACTCTGTCTTTCAAATAAATAAAAATAAATCTTAAAAAAATAACACATTATTTTAAAAAAATAACATAGGATAATATTGTGTTTCAGAATATGGAGAGTTAGAAATAATTATTATTGAAAGTTCATTAGATTATATTAATAAAATTGGCCTTAAAATTTCCCTAGTATTACTTATATGTCATTTCCTAAAAAAATACTGTTAGTATTCCATTAATCTAATTTACTTAGTCCACATTTTAGTTTCACATTGATCTATAATGGTATTCTGAAATAACTCTGAGAATCAGGTTCTTGAGGGATCCTGATGTTCCAAAATCTTTTTTTTTTTAAAGATTTATTTACTTATTTGAAAGTCAGAGTTACACAGAGAAGGAAAGGCAGAGAGAGAGAGAGAGGTCTTTTATGCACTGGTTCACTCCCCAATTGGCTGCAATGGCTGAAGTTGCACCAGTCTGAAGACAGGAGCCGGGAGCTTCTTCCAGATCTCCCACACAGGTGCAGGGGTCCAAAGACTTGGGCCATCTTCCACTGCTTTCCCAGGTCATAGCAGAGAGCTAGATCAGAAATGGAGAAGCCGGGACTCAAGCCAGTACCCATATGAGATGCTGGAACTGTAGGTGGCGGCTTTATCCACTATGCCACAGCATAGTCCCCCAAAATCTTAAAATTATATTATCATTTAATAGACATGTTTGGACAAATACTGAGCAGAGAATGATCTTTTGCTACTTATTGTTCTTTAATTGCATAAGATGGGTCTTTGTTCTATGGAAAAACATGGATACAAAAGATCTGGGGAATTTACAGATCTCATTACGTTTCTAAACTCCAACTTCTTGCTGTTGGTTTTAAAATTGAAGTCTTAACAATTTTAGACCAATAATATTGAGGCTGTAAAATGCTTACCAGTGGTAGTTTTTTTTTTATAAGTGACATATAATATTTAACTAATTTTGGTTTTGTGTCGGTATTTCTTTCTGAAAAAATTGTACCATCTAAAAATACATAAGAATATATGGAATGTGAAAGCATATTTACAACTTGACTTCTTATGTATGTGAAATCTTTATCTTTCAGTAATCAATTATAAACCTGTTTTTATTAGAATATCAATAGCAAGTTTGGCATAATCAACAACTTAACGAATTGGCTCAAAGTTAGATGTTTCATCCATAATAAAATTTCTTCCTGTAGACTGTTTATTTGGTGAAACCTACTCAAATTATTATAATTATAGACATTTTGAATTCAAAACTTTTTTTTAAATAACACTTTATTTAAATGTTCTCAGATTAATGTGCAAACCCTCTCCAAATCTGGAAGGTCCATAATACAACCCTCTCCCTCTCCCTGACCCTGTCCGTCTCCCTTCCCCCTCTCCCTGTCCCTCTCCTTCTCCTTCTCCCCCTCTCCCTCAAGACAAGCCCAGACTTTTTTTTTAAGT